GGTGAAGATGCAGCACACGTAGGTACATGTAGGTACAGTGCTCCCCCTCGTTAGTCGTCACGATGTCCATCATCAATATTATAGAGGCTTTGATGTTGGACTGAAGGAATTAGAGCCACATATGCATCAGACCTTATCGAATATAAAAGGGTATAACGAGGAAGGGTGGGTGGTTCTTATTGTTAATAATTGATACGCTCCCAAAGCTTGGATTTGGACCAAACCTTGGTCATTTGTCAATTCCTTCAGTAGCTCTCACATCTCGTCACCATTGGCGTCGCTCCCGTTCTTACCTATGCAGTGTTGCCAGTTTCTACTTGTGACACTATTCGCTATTCTGGCCAGCAGCACGATTTCTGCAGATACCTCCCGAGATGACCATGACGGCGTCTCTAGGGGTGCGGGCCTACAGCGGTTTTCAAATAGCGGTCGTCTCACAAAAGAAAAGAGAGAAGAAAGGGGCATTTTCTCCGGCATTAAAAACTGGGCAAAAATGAAGTACTGGGTCAGCCTCAAAAAGTCCGACAAGTACGTTATGGAGAAGCTTGGACTACAGGGACTTCAGGGTCAAGCTCTGAGGACTCACCCGAAGTATAAAACGCTGGAGAAATTCTGGTACAAACGTGAAAGCAGCGAGCTGGACGACTGGTTAAGCGAAGGACTCACTTTGTACGGAGCCTGGACGCGCTTGAAGCTGGATAAAGTTCCTTCAGCACAAGTCATGAAAACCAACGAATACAAAATCTACGTACACTACGTGAAAAAGTATGACAGCATGGTCTACGATTTCAAAAACAGCATTTTCCAGCCTTTGATTGAGTTCGGAGGAACAGATGCGGAAATATTTGCAAAAGTTCAGGTCTGGGCTGCAGCGAATCGACCCCGATGGTACGTGAAGGAAATGCTAGAGCTAGATGGTCTGTCTAAAAGTGAGCTAGTTGCCGACAAGTTCTACAAGAAATTCTTGGACTTGACGGGGAAAAAACCGTAGACGTATAAGGGAGTAAAAAAAAGGCTTAGCTCCAATTATGACATGCCGCTAAACTCGAGCTGGCTCGATACAATGGACCACGCGTGTGTACTTCATTGTTTCTGCTGTTTTACCGATAGTAGACAACATCGACGACACTGTATTTCTAACGCTCATAGGATCATGTTGCGATATGATAATTGAAATTCGAGATCTTTTTAATCGAAATACTGATGTAAAGCGAATAATTATGCTTATTTTGTCCTTATGCTTATTTTGTGTTCCTGTTTCAAGGTTGCCGCTTGATACCCGCAGCACACTTGTATGGCAAGCATGTACAAATGAACCTCTCCGCAGTCATAGCACTGGGATAGATCTACGACTTTCTGAAGCGACAGTAATAAAAAAAACATATCAAGAGGCTCTTGGGTGGTGGGCGAGAAACTAGAAGTGTTCCCCTCCAAACGCCTGGCAACCACAACATCGGTAGCTGCCATATAATCCTGGTCCACGAGTCGTGGCCGATTGTTAAATACTTTTGCAAAGGATTGCCGGTTTAAGTTAGCCTTAATTTTTAAAAGATAGAATGCAGTGCTTTCAGCACATCTCCGTTTACGCTCTCGGCGAAGTTTTGTCGTGGACAAAACTTCGCCGAGAGCTATGACGTTTTGCGCGCTGCAAAGTAGATTGCGAAGTGAGTTCCAGTAGAGAAGCAATAGTTACTCCTGTTCCTACTCCTACTCTGGCATGCAATGGTGTGTGCCCTGCGGCAGCACCCTCCGCCTTCGCAGCACCAACCATCGGTGCTTGTTGACTAGCTCCGCAGTTTACACGGCGCTTGTTTACGAACGTGCAGTATTACGGGGCCTCCTCGGATGTCGGTAAGCGCTGGTGGTGTCGGTCGTCAGCGCAGTGTCGTCCTTGCCGTCGTCGAGTCGTCTGAGCAATATTAGTACCCCACAGAGCGTAAACGGAGATGTGCTGAAAGCACTGGATTCTACCTTTTCTAAAAATTAAGGTTAACTTAAACCGGGGTTCTAGACAATCCTTTGCAAAAGTATTTAACAATCGGCCACCCCACCATAAAAAGTATCCTTGATTGTGTGTTTGTTTATTCATCTCCTCTTCCCTCCAATCGCAGGGCTAATTTGATATATTAACCTTACGGTGTTCAGCGCAAGGCGCTGAGCAACTCGGTGAAGTATAGACGGATACCGGATGCATTTGTCTAGCTTGGTGAGCCTTGAATGAACCATCGACTGGGCAAAAGAATAACTGGTCGACGTGGTACAGTAAGGTAAGCTCAGAGCGCATAATAAGGACTTAAAACATGTCAATAGACCACAAACGCCAAGATTTTTCTTCTCAGTACTGCGTAGTGATCGGCTTTGCTGAGTTGATCACTGAGCTCATAACTTTGCCATAGCTTTTCTTCAGTAACAGCTTCACTGGTACAGGTTGTTGTCACCCTCTGCGGATCCATTTCACAGTAGCAGGGAAATTCGAGGCATTATTGAATCGGAATAGCTGCAAGGCCACGTTAAAGAGTATTTTTTTCATCGAAAGCGCTGAGGTTTTCAATACAAAAAGTGTATTTTGAGACCTTGTTGGCATGAGCGCAAGCGATCTAGTTTCTCAAATTACGGTCGAGATTTTAACAAAATGAAAGTTGGCGAAAAGGCGGCTCGTATTTCTAAGACCTCAACATGCATGTCCTGGAAGAGATGAAAGTGTCTGTCAACGTGCTGACGTTGGACTGGAGAATGAATCCTCAATGTGAGGACCCCTATAAGCGTACTTGGCTAGTGATAAGAGCGCACTCTACTTCGCCATGCCCCGCAAACGCTAGATCCCACCATCTACTGCATTCCTGGCTATTTTGTTTTGTTTTGCTGCAGCTGATCTAGATGTTGTTTTTGGGTGTGTAGCCTGCCTGTCATCGGGGGTATCTCGGCTGGGTATCGCAGATTCTACCCGTCTAATCAGATACCGCTACAACCGGCTTTAACCGGATATTCGTAACAGTTAACCGTTACGGTGTTCAGAGATAATCTGTAGATTCTGTAGGCTATGCCTAATAGTAGTTTTCTGGTGGCCATCTTGGGCTAGTTATTCTCAACCAGCTTTGTCTTCGATATTTTGCAGTATAACTGGGAGATTGTCGATCTCGAAGACGCTGACTGGCGGTGTTCCCTCGAAGGAGAGCTTGATTACTTTCTGAGCGAGTGAGACTTCCTTTATAGTCGTGGCTTGGCACGCGTACGCAGTAAATCCTTCGAGAGCCCTTTTTCCTCTTGACGTCAGAAACTTCCCTCCTTGTAAGCTTACTTGAATAGGACTTGGCAGTTCTTGTTGACGTAGATGCGTTAGCGCCTGGTCATCATCATAAGGTTAATAAGCTATCATCCAGCCGCACGCGCGAAAAGTTGAACGAAGGTCGTCCAAGCAGAATGTTTCTTGAAGGTCGTCCAAGCAGAATGTTTCTTGAAGGTCTCCTAATGTTACTTGTAACTCAGTCGACATTTTGGAACGATATAATGTCTGAGGTGCCCTACACGATACTCTGTATCCCTCCCTCCTGGTATAAAGCCATTGTTTATGTGTTATCCACACAAACTTCTTCAATCAACGATGTACATGCCGTTTTAAACCGATTGGTAGATTGCAGTATAAAGGTTTATGTTGCGGTGTACTGGTCTCTACACCTTGGAACTACATTGAAAAGAGTGTATGTTAGTGGAGTAATTGAAAGTGTATACCACACCAGATGCGAAAGAGAAGAACTTCACTACAACTAAATACACGTGCCGCACGGACACCATCTTGCTGCCTGCTCAAGAAGTTGCCTTTAAGAGTGAGCTTTCGCTCTGTGTATTTGTTGCTCTCCGGAAATGTCTGCGTACTCGTGTAGCTTGCTCCGGCACTAGTGTCTGTATAGCGACCACTGGTAGATTCGTTCTACAAAACGCAAGCTACACTGCATTTCCAGATAAGCAAGAAAGGAAAATAAATAGATAACAGAACTTTTAAGAGATCGCTTCCATACTACCAACGTACATGCAACGATTGGGTTTGGTCACCATTTTCAGTTATATATTTTTTTGAACATTCAACTAACTAACGTTAATTGATCGACTAGCCGATTATTTTAAATATCCATACTGTTTAAATAGTATGGATATCATGACTTTTTTTTTATCCAAGAGTATCCAAATTATTAAATTACTTTAAAAAAACAACTGACTGACTGACCACTTTTGTGACAACTCGAGTAAAATCAAAATAAGACTTTTATGTATAGATTGGTACGTTTCGAAGATTATAAAAAAAAAACTAACGTGAAAAAAAACGTTTGTTTTAGTCAGAGGATTTCGTGATTATGCTTTTTAAAACCAGTATAAAATCTAACATTGAAGATACATTATGCACTTAAAAATGACATCGAATGTTGGCACCAGCAGCATCATGCGGATGCACGACCAATACTCGGGGAGTCTTGGAATAAAAGTGTATCAGGAAGCTCCCAAGGGGGCGATTGTGCTCCCAGCGCAGCTTTTAGAATGTCCCGCTCAACCATTCAGCTTTCGTGAGGTAGTCTTGAGCGTCCACGCCCTCGCCTTCGTCTCTGGGTGTTCCTTCGCTAGTGTCCGTGGACTCGGCGGCGATCCACTTCTCAAATCGATGGTGATTTTCGTTCAGGGGGTGAAGGCTTCGGGTGCTACCTTCAAACCAACATTATCGTCACCTGAGACGCCAGTCTAAGAGATGGAAGTGTTGAGAAGTGCGAAGGCAAAATGACCAGGTTTTAAACCAATAAAAAAGTTTAAACTTTTTTTCAGTTTGATTCGCGATTATCCGTAGATGACCAATTCATAATAAGATCTCAGGTCGCTAGCAAGCATTAAAAATACATGTTATCGTTCCAGAGAATTGGGAATGTGTACATCTAGTGCTGGTTTGACTGATCGAATGTACAAAACACCCACGTTCCTGAGAAAGCTGAAACCAGCGCCCGTGAACACGACAATACCAACCGTGAGGCGATTATAGCTTGCCCTACACCAGTAGAGAACAAGACCACCACGTTAAACGTCATGTATCAGGAAAGCTTAATGCTTAAAAATGAGTACTATCAAGCAAAATTGACAAAATTTACTACTGGCCCTGCCACAAAACCTGGTCATTTCCGCTTAAGATAAGTCTTCAATTTTTAACGCTTAAGATAAAATGTTCAGCGTCAGTAAGTGCTTTTTAAAAAAAGCACTTATAGTAGTAAGGTATTCTCAAAACACCTAACTAATAATAAAATCTACTTTTTGTAAACAAGAAAGCAATTAATTAGACTGAGTTTTAATACAAAGCACTTTCTTAAGCAGCTCGGCCAGTAGCTACATGTAGCCATTTGGCTCCACCATTATTGGCTAATCAAAAAATGCTATTTTTTCCTCCAATCACCTGCCGCTCCGTTTGACTGGCAGCCAGCAGACTATTGAGCCGCCCCTCGAGTAGCCCGAGTCATTCCCAGTTTCAAGTCCGAATCCATCATGGTGCGTAGTTGTGCTCTAGTGTCCAGAGAGCCCCAATCCAGACTAAACTAACTGCTTCGTCTCAATGCGCAGTCGAAGAAAACCGCGACGAAGGAAGTAGAGGAGGTGGTGCGTGTCGGCCCGTCGCTCAAGGAGGGCGAGCAGGTGTTCGGCGTTGCCCACATCTTCGCCTCGTTCAACGACACGTTCGTGCACGTGACCGACCTGTCTGGCCGCGAGACGATCGTGCGTGTGACTGGCGGAATGAAGGTCAAGGCCGATCGTGACGAGGCCTCGCCCTACGCCGCCATGCTTGCCGCCCAGGACGTGGCCGCCAAGTGCAAGGAAGTTGGCGTCACCGCTCTGCACATCAAGATTCGCGCTACGGGCGGCAACCGGACCAAGACTCCGGGCCCCGGCGCGCAGTCGGCCCTTCGTGCGCTTGCTCGCAATGGCCTGAAGATCGGACGTATTGAGGACGTGACCCCCATCCCGACGGACAGCACCCGCCGAAAGGGTGGTCGCCGTGGTCGCCGTCTTTAGGCGCACGGACTGGGGACTTGTTCTCAAATGGCTTACAATGCTCGTATTGTGGACGTTTGGAGCAGCTCATGGGCTGGGAAGTGCTTCCTCACGTGTTACAACGGGCTCTGGGTATTATGCTGGTGCTAGTGCATTCGATTGGCTATTAGTCTAACCATGAGATTGTAATTTACGCCTGTATACTCGGAAACTTTGACGCGCTTTATTGAATCCTGGTTGGTCAATATTGTCATCACAGGTTTAACATGGGCTGAAGCAGACATCCGAGCACGCCTGGGCCTCGCCAGGTCTGCGGCGTCAACTCCAGTGCCAATATCTCGGTCTGTCGACGCACAACTACGCGGATACCGCTGCCAATATTGCGCTGTACGATGTCTCTCACAGCTGCCAGCTCTCTGTGGTTGCTGGCGTCGGCCGTGCCGAAGCGCAGGACGTGGTCTTGTGCTTGTAGCCCCGCTAGTTCAGCTGGTGACTCTCTCTGTACGCTCTCGACCACTGCAAAAGGCAGCAGGTCTCTCTCCTCGGGCTTCACCTCGCTCATTTTCTGCTTCCACTCGCTCTCGAGCTTCCGCATGCGCTCCGTCGCATCATTCACCTGCGGGTCTGTAGTTGTAGTCGAGTTCTTAACTTCTTGCTGCTTTCCGGAGCTTCGTGCATCAAAAACCCTACAGTAAAAGCGTTAAAACATTGGGTGGTGATATAACCAGGTTAGATTCGACCGACGCACCTCGGTAGCAGCTCCTCGATCTTCTTCATGGTCGTCTGATGGTCCGTTTGCTTGAGCGCCAGCGTGTGGCGAAGCTGACGCACGCGATACACGTCAATGTCCGCTCTAGGGAAACCCTCGGCATCTACCAGAGGCCCATCTAACCCTGGGTTGTTACCCGAGGTTAACTCCGCTACCACAGCCTCAATCTCGGCCTCGATTGCCTCCTTGGCCTTCACCGCCGCCTCATACTCGGACACCACGTCGGCCATGATAAATCGGCGAAATAACAATAGTGTTTTGATTCGCTAATTTTTCTTGTGCCTAGGCCAATCACAGCCATCTATTCTATAGCATTGCTGGAGCTGTCAATGCCCTTCTTCGCCTGCTACCTCCTGACGCCTGTGCAGCCTCCACAGCGCCTACGATGCTCGTATATTGGCTTCACCGTAGCTCCGACGCGACGCATACGTCAGCATAACGGAGAACTCGTCAACGGAGCCAAGAGAACGCGGAAATTCCGACCGTGGTAGGAAATAGTAGTCATTAAAAATACTATTACTCATTAATTACTATTTCCTGATCAAAGTACTTTTTAAAGGGAAATGATCGCCGTCGTGCACGGCTTCCCGAGCAAGTTTCGAGCTCTTCAATGTACGTGGATTATGAACCATTTTAATACTTTACTTACCTCTAACGTTCTCTATCGTTGCAGTTGAGTGGGTGTGGCAGCATCCAGAGGTTAGTAAAATCTCCAAGACTCACTTGGAATATTTACACGGATCCAGAGGATTCGGAACTCCTCGATCCGTCAAGCGGAAGTTGGTAGAAATGCTGGAAATAATTAACTTGGAGCCGTTTAAAGGGTTAAATCTAACCGTGAGCTTCACCAGTGACGAGATACACAACACCGCTCGGGCATTGGGGACGAGGTATGCAGCTGTACACTGCGAGACCAGAGCATTGGAAACTTTCGCTGGTGTGGAGAACGAAGACACTGTTTCCAAGTGTTTTATATGTGAAGTTAAGTTGTACTCGGAATCAGAGAGTGGAGATGGTAACCAGAACGTGGTGGGGTGCTATCATTCTGGCTGTGAAATGTGTTGTCATACACCGTGTTTGAATGACCATTTCCGGTCGATAAACGACGATGACGGTGAAGCTAATAGCGGAGAATGTCCGGAATGTCAGCAGCTTTTAGCCTGGTCTTTATTGACACAGCATCACGGTCAAGGCAAGGGAAAAAGGAAGAAAAAAACACTAAACAAACGACGCAAGAAAGCTAAGGTCTCGAAAAACAATGTCGGAATTATGGAGCAAACGATAGCAGAGATTAATGCGGAAGAAAGACTCAGCGAAGAAGCAGATGCGATCAGTATTGGTTCCTCTTTATCGAGCAATTTTAGCGCTGAGTACAACTCGAATGGCTGGTTTGAGGACCATGGAGAGTATGAAAATGACGAAGATATGATAGATGACGCCTTGGACGCTGGAGCTCCTATCCTTGATATTCCGCCTAGAGACCGAGAAGTGGAAATGATTGATCTCACTTAAATCAACACTATCCCTCCTGAACTTTTGGGATACACATGGCAATGGGAGAGCATGGCGCCGTGTAGCAGTCGGAGTCCACAAGTTCGCAGTCTTCACGCTCACTACAGCGATCCGGAGAGCACACGTCAGCGCAGTAAGCTACGACCGTTTTATCGGCTTCAACCTGCTCTTTGCACTCCGTAAATGTAGGGCAGGTCATCGTTTCGCACGTGATTTGTGTGTCAACGTCACATTCTCCCTCGTGAATCACCGTTAGAGTCTGATGTTGGCATCTCGCATTAGCGAATAGACAGAGATTGTCGTGGGTTTGGCCGTCCGAGCCACACACGGGTGCGTACGTGTACGGACAAGGCTGGGGGATACAGGACTCTCCGTTATAGTTAATGGTTGGACTGTTAGCTGTACGTGCGGCTTGCATATTTGGAGGACACTTACCAGGTCCAAACACCTTAACGTTAGGGTTTCTGCATTCGGCGTACTCTAAAAGACACAGATTAGCGTACGTGATCCCATTGGAGCCGCAGACTGGGTCGTATACACGCTCACACATGGAGTTGCACTTCTCTGCTGTCACCGGAGAATCAATGACGCTCACACCAACTTCCAAGACGTTCAGATTAATGCCATTTGTGCTGGTAACGCAGTCCCCATGATAGGCTTTTTCCAGTTGTAGATTCTGACATTTTGAAAATAAAAGGTGGCAGTCGTTGATATACGTAACTCCATCGGTTCCGCAGACGTGATCCGGTGTCAACTTGCACGTTAGGGAGCAGAATACAGTGTCCAGATCGACCTCAGCAGGGACGGACTCTAATTGAGTGTCGGATAGAGACTCCATTAGAGTACTCTGGACTTCAGGTGATGCAGAACATTCACCCAACGCTTGGATAAACAAAGTGTCTGCATCATGTTCCGAAGAGCAAAACACTGAAGCAAAGACACAGTTGTTGGCATAGGTGACGCCATTAGAGCCGCACACGGGGTCGTAAGCGACGGCATCGCACTGGAACCCTTTAGTGCAGTCTACAGCAGTCGCGGCTTCAGGCCCCACACCGATGTTGACTGAAGTCTGGTCTTGACTTCCGCCTTGCCCCGTGACGAGACCACACGTTAACCCAACCAGCAGGAACACCAGTATAACAGGACGTGCATCCATGGCTCAAATTTCGACTGTGGCATCGACTATTCTTGGGCATATTCTAAAATTAATTAAGGTATGACATAAGTTTATGTTGTGCTAACTTTAGGATAACATATATACTGAAAGAGTTGACAGATTTTTTTTGGTATTTAGAGATCGCTAAAAGAGAGTAATCGCTTTTATTTTTTTTGATTTTAGGATTTCGATGCGGTAATTCTCAAATCAAATCTGTCCACACTCTTCAAACTTGAGCGATTTTCTCCTCTACAAGGTCGAATTTCTCGCTGATCTCTTGTTCTCGCTCTTGGAAAGTGGCTCGATGAAACCAGCAAGACACATCAGAGGGACGACCCCAGAAGAAAAGTAGCAAACAAAACACAATTCGGCCACTCCGTCCGATAGAATTCATACTTGCCTGGATTCGCTGCTAGCGGTGAAGAGCCATTCACAGGGAGATTCAATCTGTTGTTTTCGCACTAAATATCAGCTGCGTTGCTAGTATTGCAAGAATCCAGGAATGTCAGATCGTCCTGAGTGCGATTCCGATCGATTTGGGCTCGACAGTAATTCCACACAAAGTCTCCCTTCTTCGACGTCGAAGTTTCGTTACTTGGAGAGCTAACCATTTGCAGTAGATTGTCGACATTTTCTTCTTGAGCACAGATTTCGTGGCTCCCAATAAGACAGCACAGGCTGGGAGAGCTGCATGAACCTGGTCAAAGCGTCCCACCTGCGGCATGGTGAGGTAGATGGTTGCAAATTCCGAAATGCTGATTTTGAGTAGAGTGATGGCGCAGGGCTCGAGAACAAACAGAAGAATTGCCAGCTATTACCAGGTGCAAGATGACTACTTGGTTTGAACCTGGATTTTTTACTTTAGTATTTTTAGCTTTTTTTGTAACATGGTGGACTTTTAGACTACTGTCGATAAACATGGTTGACACTTTTGCACTACAAATAGCCCTTCACCCACTAACTATCGAACCTAATAACTATTTTCATTTTCACAATTGCCATGCCAGCCATAGCTCCGTCATCGCTCGATGGGCGCGTCCCTGATCACGTCATTGGATGCACTACTCGAGTCTTACGACGGATCTCCCAGTTCGCAGGGCGACTACCAGGTCAGGATTCCGTTAGTAAAATGAATGAGTTCCAGCGATTTCGACTCGAGACACCGTCGTGGAAAGTAGCGCTGATCCTCCTGGTGACTCCATTGCCATGGCTGCTCCTCAATGTCCTATTGGAATTGATCCCACTGAATGATCCGGCCACTGGGTTTTGGGGCTCTGGGTACTACCAGTTGCGGATGTTTTTCATCTCAATCTTCAGCAGTATCGCTCCAGCCGCACAAAAGCTTGATTGTGTGCCAGGTTTTCCAGTTCGATCAGTTAGAGCGCTTACAATTTACGGATTATTCCAAGGCTGCATCTGTATTGGCACTAATATGATTATTTCGTTGGCATCAGGAGTTTTCCCAGTCCCATTCAGCCAGTTCACTGTTATTATTCCCATGGTGATCAGTGGCAGACTCGTTTTCTTTCGTAAGTTACCGGACGATCCTCAATTTCACGCACTAAGCGATAAAGTGAACCAGTGGCTTGGTATGGAGTCGTTACCTATTTTAGTGTATCCTGTATTTACAGCCGTATTCATGATGCTCTCACCCTCACAGCAATTCTGGATGTCGCTTCTGCTGCCTTTACTCAAGTTAACCATTCGCAGTGCACTGTGGTATGTCGCAAGATACGATGACGACCTTGTTGGGGTTATTACGTGCTGTGTGGGGCATCTCTATCACGTGCTATTTACTGCCACGATCTTACAGAACGCCAAGTCAGTGGAAACTCTGGCTGTTGTTGTACTATTCAACACCGTGCAAATGCTATTTAACTGTCGATGTATCTTCGCTGACTCGAATAACATCTACCAAGCCCGAGTAAAATCCCACGCGTTAGAAGTGGAAAAATCAACTTTTTCAGTTAGGGATAATTTACAGACAGCGTTAGAGTATGCTCAAGAAATACGGATAGCGCAGAATCTGCACTGGAGGACGCCGTCTTTACTGCTCTCGACATATACCGGATACCGCAATGCTGAGTTTATGGAGAAAAATCATGAAACGTTACGAAGCGCGACTCTATTCAACGCTGCATTCGTGCATAACGACCCTAAGAACGCTAAGAACGCTGCGGTTAGAGGCCCACACAGTAACATTGGGGAACCTAAAATCGTGACGGTAAGGAAAGCTTCAGCAACTACGATACCTACTCGAATGCCAAGGATCCTTCCGTGGGCTGATAGCTCAAAACTAACGAGAAAAACGTCAGGTCAAGTGATTCAACTAAAATCTCGCTCATGCTCGCTATCATCTCCACGATCCCATAGCGAACCAAGCACGTGGACTAACGCTGAGAAAGAAGAAGCTCGATTAGTGAGACACGAATCAGTCATTCATAAGGTTGCTTCGGCGATTCATCAGTCCGAGCTAATTCTGCTTCGATCCTACGTCACTATTTGTATGACACTATTTTACGGTAAGAGTATTTCGTTAGAGTATCTCTAGTTGCTGCGTCTGACTCTTGGCTGTTCCTCTCTTAGTAATTTACTTGCAGGTGGTGTTTCGTCTTAGAAATCGCCACTACTTCGCCACTCTCTTGTACTTAACAACCCTGGAAGCCGTGAACCAAACAGTACAGAGACTGTTATTGATATGCGCTGTGGAAGTTGTATTTCTCGGCATTTATTTACTACTGATCCAGCGACGATTAGGGATCTCGGGTCTCTATCAACTCGCTTTTGTCTTGTGGTCGCAGCGAGTACTGGTTCAGTCAAAGTTATACGTGACTACCATCATTTTGGGATTCCCTCTCACACACAATGGAAATGACAGTATCCTACGCTTCAATTCCGTCCACTAAAAACACGAAGCAAAGCTCTAACCAAAACGCTAATGGTCTCACATTTGGTTGTGCCCAGATTTTCACTATGGAACACTTCAGTAGACAGCGTCAGTCTCTCACAGGAGGCCAGGAAGTCAGTATACCTTATGAATTGGCTGGATGTGGTGTGTCGTCCTCACATCTATTTCTTTTTGTGTCCAAGTTATCCGTCTTTTTTTAGTTGACATGTTAGCTGCCCTCTACATTCCAAAATGGTGGCGGTGTCACCTACTCCGACAGATATCGAGCTCTCCATGCGACCTGTCCGTCCAATCTCGCGGATATTCAACGCTGCTCTTCGGTGGCTCACTCTATTTGCTGGACGCCTTCCAGGGGGTTACACAGTCGACAAATTGAACGCATTTGATCGTTTTCGCCGCAGGACTTCACCATGGCAGTTAACTAGAATTTATTTATTGTCACCCGTGGCCTGCTTGGCTGTCAATATTATACTCGAGAGCATTCCGTTAGCAGACCCTGCCTCTGGATTTTACGGCTCTCTAAACTTCCAGATCAGAAATTTTCTGGTTGCAACAGCAGTAATGATGACTCTGATTACTACCAAACTTTCCTGTATTTCGCGAATATCGACTCGATCATGGAAATACATTTGTGGGATTAGCGTGACGCTCACAATCGTCGCGATGACTACCAATGCAGCTATCGCAATTATTGGCGAAGTATTTCCCGTACCATTTACGCAATTCGTACCAACTGTTCCAATGGGAGTGATTGGAGCCATAATAAATCGTAGATTTCTAGAAACTCCAGAAAATCGAGCACGAATGCAGAAAATTGACCGATGGCTGGCCATGGATTTAGCGCCAATTCTCATCTACCCGATCTTCACTGCAGTTTTCATGACAGTGGAGCCTCAACAACAGATGTGGTTATCTCTTTTTCTACCTATTTTAAAGCTGTTTTTACGGTATTTATTATGGTTAGTCATTAAAGATGAACCGGATCTGGTAGGCGCAGCAACGTGCAGTGTGGGGCATTTGTACCATATCCTGTTTACGGTCATGTGTCTTCAAAATGCCAAGTCTTTGGAGACATATGCGGCGGTGGTAGTGGTAAATATTCTCCAAATGTTACTGAATTGTCGTGGAATCCTTAAAGACGCGTACGAACTTCGCAGAGTGGCTGAACAAGTGGAGGATCTCGACCAACTGGGTGTAAAAGGTATCGTTTCTATCGTGTCATTAATTGCCCTGCAAGAACAGATATCCAGGTCTCTTCATCGTAAAACACCGTCGCGATTGTTGTCTACGTATCCAGAATATCAGCGAGACGACTACGTGACTAAATACCACAAGTTTTTACTATCCGAGACGTATTCCATCTCTCAAAATTCACGACTTGCCAACATCAACGGACGAGATAAACGTCTGAGCAGTAAGCGACACAGTACGCCTGACGCCAAGACATCATCGAATTACCCAAAGACTACCAAAGTGGAGCAGTGTACGGTAGTTTTACCAGATACCGTAACTCGGACTGCTTCGGTTCCTTGTAAGAAAAATGACGTCAAACGCACACACAGCCGTCACACATACGAGTCACTGACAGGAAAAATTCGTCAGTGTGAAGCATTCGTTCGGCACTTCACTTCAGCATTGCACCAGACTGAGATAATACTTCTTCGGTCTTACATCACAATCTTTGCAATGCTATTTTACGGTTAGTGATTTCATTTACAGCACCCTAACATAACTCTTAACGTTTTTGTGTCTTATTAGGGCTGTACCAGGCGCTTGTCTTCGCCTTGCCTAATCGCAAATACTACGCCACAATGGCCACCACCACGACGTTCGATGCAGTGGCCAACATGGTCTTCCACATGCTCGTACTCTGCAGTCTCGAACTTGTCTTCCTGGTCATATATATGGTTATCATCTCCAGCCAATTAGGGTATTCGGGTATTCATCAGCTCGCATTCGTGCTTTGGTCGCAGCGGATTCTCATCCAAGGCAAGTTCATCATGTTACCGATAATGATCCTGGGGTTCCCACTCGCTCACTTCGGCAACGGGATAATATTCCAGCTGAAAGCTGAAGTCTAAACAACTATTATACTGGGAATACCTCAGAATGAGGTAATAGACAGCCCTCAACGGATTAATTCTACGGTTCTGCGTAAGCGTAACCTCGGTCGACATTCGTACGACATTAATGTAAAGATGGAAAATCTGTTAACAAAATTTGTTGCTGTGTTTACACACTCTTGTGCCACAGTCATGGTTTCCATCTCGCCAACTGCGGACGATGTTGTATTTGCACAGCCTTCAGTCCGTACCATTGTCCGTATTATCAAAGCATTCTGTCGATGGTTACGACATGTTGCTGGTCGACTTCCTGGAGAGTACACAGTCGCCAAACTCGACGCTTTTGATCGCTTTCGACGCGAAACGAGTATGTTTCAGATCGTTGCACTACTGATACTGACGCCAATACCCTGTATTCTCACCAATATTCTCGTTGAGAGTATCCCACTCAAGAACCCAGCTGACGGATCACAAGATTGTTTGACTTTTTTGTTACGTAATTTCTTGAGTGCAACGATTGTTACAATGACCCCGTTCCGGATCAAACCCGATTGTATATCAAATTTGACGATCCAGTCGTGGAAACTATCTCTTGGGTTTGGTATTATACTGGGCGCAATTTCGACTGGATTCATAGCTGCTCTTGTCTTCCTCTCTAAGGTGTTTCCAGTCCCGTTATCGCAGTTTTCTCCGATTCTCCCGATGGGGATCGTGGGAAGAATTATCGAGTCTCGACTTCTTCACAAACCCGAGGTTAAACCACGACTGGAGACAATCGACCAATGGCTGGCGATGGTTGTAGCTCCTATTCTGGTGTACCCGATCTTCACAGCGGTGTTCATGGCGTTAGCACCGAGCCATCAATTGTGGTTTTCCCTCATGTTACCAGTGATTAAACACCTTATACGATATGCCCTTTGGCTTGGAGCAAAGAACGATCTGGATCTCGTGGGCTCTGTTACGTGTACCATTGGCCACTTTTATCACGTGCTGTTCACGGCAATGTGCTTGCAAAACGCTAAAAATATGGAAACTCTAGTCGCTGTCGTTGTCGTGAATTTCATCCACATGATATTCAACTGCCGAGAAATACTGGAAGATGCGAATCGATATAACGAAATCAAGAGTCGACTTGCTCTTTCATCAAGTGATATTGTCGCCTCTGCTTTAGCTATTGCCCAAAACGATCGAGTATCCAGGTCTCTCCATCGAAAATCTCCGTCTCGTTTGGTTTCCTTGTATCCGAGATACCAAACAGTCGAGTTTCTTACTAAGTATCACGATGTTATAACGCACATATCCACCAAAACCACCAGCAGACAAACACTAGCGCCATTATCCCAGAGTTCAGCTCAGGTTCTTCCTGAAACCAACGCATCACTTCGTGGCGATAGCCGAAGAGAGGAAGATTTTGTCCGAAGCGTGACATCTACATTGCATCAAACCGAGTATATCTTACTTCGATCGTATATCACAATTTTTGGGCTGTCATTTTATGGTACGTAACAGTATTATACTATTTTAGAAAATGTTGAAGGATTAACTGTACTTGTTCAGGAATTTACTTGACGCTGGTGTTTTGGCTACCAAATTATCGCTATTTCGCAACCATGAAGTATATGGTTACGTTTGATGCGGTTGCGACTAAAGTTTTCCATTTAGTGGTACTATGCAGTGTGGAACTTCTATTTTCCACAGTATATTTAGTAATAATCGGACGCAAAGTTGGCATCTCGGGCATCTACCAGCTAGGATTTGTGCTTTGGTCTCAGCGTGTTCTGATTCAAGGGAAGTTTGTCATGCTCTCGATCATGATTTTGGGATTTCCTCTCGAGCACTACGGTAATGGATTCATTTTCCGCCTACATTCTGGACACTAAAAACGTAAAAATATGCCTCCACTTGATTCGAGACTACGACGGATACGTTTACGATATTGGCTGTAAGTTCCAGTAACATGGGAGCACTTCGGATATTTTTCGTGAGACCTCGATCGCTCTTATGGAGATTAGCCGCATCCTACTCGCGGCAATAGTAGCGTTTGTATCATCACAACTGCAGGCGAGGTTAGAGTACCCCCAATGTCAACAGACGACCAGAGAAGACTACCCGAGAAGACTACCGTGAGTCGTCAACGGTGGGTTCCCCAACGAAGAGAGTAGTGTTGCCTCCTCGGTAAGAAAAAGACTGGATGAAATGAAGTACTGAGTTGGTTTCGAAAAGGCCGGCGACTACGTTCTTGTGTTGAAGAACTTTATTCAACTTTAAAAGTTTCCAGGCACCTTCCAAGTCGAGTCCTTCATCGATCCGTTTGCCCAGCTCCCTTGGCTACAGGGCCTGAAAGGAAGCGATCTGATAAGGCACCCTCAATACAAAAGCTTGCAAAACTCTGGTACAAACTTGGAGGCCGTTGGGCTAGAGAGGAGGGTTTATCGGTGTGGCGAGGCAAACTGGCAATAGGAGAGCAAAACAGGGTGAATCGCCAGTAACGAGCTACACCAGTCGTCTCCATTAGTATTTTTGTGCAGTGTTCCAAGATACTCGGATTCATATTATGGTACATTCGTGGATAGGAATACCGTTAGACAGGAATAAATTGGCGGCTCCCAACGCTATGACTACCGAGGGGATCGTCTGTATTTAATACAACAAAGCCAACAAAATACTCACAATTGACCATAATCTACTTGCACCATAGCGATAATCATTTTGGAATTTGCTCTTAAGAATCCTCAAGGCGGTGCAATACGACAGCAATGCGCTACGCTACGTTACTGTTAGCTTCTCTAGCGCTCCAGCACGATCTCAATACGCCGTCTGCCGCTATTTCCAAACCGCTTGTTCAGAGAGACACTCCACCTCTGCGACTGCTAAGAAGCGACACGCCATCAGATGAAGAAGAGAGGAAGGCTATCAACCTTCCTGGCATCAATAAACTCACAGACGCAGCAAAATGGACAACGACAAAGATTTCTGATAAAACAATGCTCGGAGTAATGCGATTCAAGGGCAAAACTGCGGACGAGGCCTTCTTACTGCTGAAACTTGATCAGGCTGGTGATAAGCTCCTTGAGAGCAAAGAGTTCGGCATGTGGGTCAGTTATATGACCAAAATCAACAAGAAACACCCCAAGACTGCTATGGTGACAACGTTGACGGCTCGCTACGGCGACGAAGGCCTGGCAAAGATGCTGGAAGCTGGCAGATGGGTGGAAGCCACAAGTAAAATCGCGGGCAAGCTGCAAATTGCCCAGATGAAAGGTTGGCTGCAAAACAAGAAATCTATGGACGATGTATTCAAGATCCTGACACTGGACAAGGGTGTGGATAATATCCTTACGAACCAGAATTTAAATGCTCTGGGAACCTATGTCAACTTATACAACAAAAAATATCCTGGGCAGGAAACGAGCGTCATCAAGGAATTGATGGTATTTCACGGAGACGAAGCTGTATCCAAGATGCTCGAGGCGGCGAAGAAGGTACCCGAGACACACACACTGGCGAAGGCGTTGCAGACCGCGCAATTTAAACTTTGGTTCGTAGAAGGAGCGAAACCTTTTCAAATCTGGAAAATGCTCAACATGAAGAAAGAAACGTGGATGATGAACCCGGATGCGCAGGTTTGGCGCGGGTATCTCGAGTATTACAAGCTACAAAAAGCAGCGAACGTGCCCAAGTAGTATTGATCTGGAAAAGTCTCGACACCCAATAGAGATACGTGCATTATTGGCAATCATCACTCCTGCTGCAGCCATACCATGTTCCGAGGGAGGTCGCGTTGATAGTTTGAGTAGACATGTATGAACCCCAGGCATCGCTGTCAGTATCGTCGTTGGGAGGTAGTTTGAATCTGGAAGTGATGAGAGCTTCTGAATCCTGTCGCTGGATCGAAAGGATTTTTTCTTGGGTCGTACTCAGGCATGACCTGGATTTAGGTCGTAGTTTACTTAAACCTAAAATCAGACCTGGCGGAACAACCCGATATTCGCTTCATTGGCCAGTGTTAGCTATGCATGAGACAACGGAGTGTTAGAGGTTCATACAAGCGTTCCTTTGAGGAATACGACCTACTACACCCTGTTTGACCACGTTAACCCTTCTAACCCCGAGCTTTATTCTGTATTCTACAGAATAAGATAACATCTTGGTTTCAGTATACTTCAAAACCTGCGAGAAGTATGCTATTGGAAGCCCTTTCGCGCTCAATGGTGAAAAACTGGACAAGATGGCAACAAAGCAGCAGCGCACGTGGACATAACGTCCACAATGTATCCATTGGCTACAGAATTTGGGATCTTCTATTGGTGCATTTCTGAGCAAAGCATGCCAAGAACCTGCAATACACTAAAACCCGTTCATTGTGATACTGTCGCTAATCGCAACTAAACTCAGTCTTCTTCTCTGTCTTTTCGTTTGCGGAACCTGATCTTCTTTATTAGTCCCGGAGGATTCGCTTTGCCGTCGTTCCACACCTCGTGCCAGATCTCGTAGCAGGTGCGTGTGTTTCCCTCTTCCTTGCGTCGAATACTATCGCACAGCGGTACTCGCCCGCCATAAACATTGCTGCATTTCTGGCAGAGGTAGCTAGACTCAAACGATTTTGCGTTCTTGTCTGCAAAAGCAGAACACACTTTGCACAGATACTGGCGCCGCTTGTGCTGCTTTCCTGATGAATAGAACTCGTCCGTGTTGACCAGGGCGTGAGCTCGACGTGGAACCGGTATACTCACCAGATCTTCTGCGTTCATGTGTCTCTCGAAATTGATCGTTTACAGAGATAGCAACTGGTTGTGCAAACGGCGCAGATAATCAGCATGGGTGGGCGGAGTAACTCCTTTTTTCTTGTGAGTGATGCAATGAACAATGTAACCATTCACCGTAGCCATATCTACAATGCACAGGAATAGTTGGTTGTAGTACTTGCGGAGCGAGATGCACTTCTGAATACTGTACCGCTGCAATCGCAGTTGATCGTGAACGTCGACGCCTCCCATGCCGAGGCCGTAGTCAGCAACCAGCTGCGGACACGGCACTGTGCTCCGGGATCCATCCTTCTCCGTCCGTAGAACACTAGTCCGATGGGTACTGCATCCAGTCGCAAGCATGTTCACCGGCTTAGAATCCATCCAGCTCAGAGCTACAAGTTCAGGGTGGTCGCGAGCCTGAGCAATGCGGTAAGTGCCCCTTGGCATTTTCTTAGGCCGCTTCTGCTGGGTGAAATGCATAGGGCACCACCCCAACCGATCAATGTGCCGTGCCAACGTGGTAGAATCCCAGCTCCAACAGCTTCAAGCTCAATGAGACGGCAGAGTAGTAGTTGTCGGTCACTATGAGTCTCTTCGCATGTTGCCCGGCAAGGGCCTTAGTGATGTTCCGAACGACGGCTTTTGGTCCCAGTCCCAGCGGCTCACTAGACGACTTCTTCTTTCTCTTCTTCTTCTTGTCCGCGCCACAGTATATCTCAACTCTGTAGGATATACAGAATACCGTAATTTTATCGTTAGTTATTCTGTAGCATACAGAATATGTAATTCTGGGAAATAAAGAGTCACTGGCCTCACCTTGAGCAGTATGCCGTCTCTGCGCAACAGGTCATGTAGAACTTCGTTCCGTACTTGCTGGGCTTGTCCGGCATGTAGACTCCCATTGGGTTGAATTTACTGCGGTTGGGCATCATTCCCTCGTCGAAGGATATCACCTTTCCAATACGATAGCCGCGTCGAAATGTCCTCTCGTCAGCTTGTAATACAGGACGGATCTTCCAGGCCTCGTCCGCGTTGTTGTTGAAATGCATAAACTGCACAATGAATTCGAACCGATCACGCTTCATAAAACGCGAAAACGTGCCCCGTGGAATGGCGCCGTCTTCATCCGTACACCAATGCTTTGAAAGACCGTCACGAATGGGGGCAAGAGCAGACCAATAACATGCACATGTTCATGAGCCTGGACACGCTTGAACTTATTTAGCTTGTCTTCGTAGTCTTCCAAGCTAGGAACACTCACTCGGGGATCTTGAGCTTGTCGCGCTAGCATTTTAGCTCTCCCAGAAGCGGCGACTGCGCCAATGCTTTGTTGTCGGTATCGATTGGTCTCGTCCGCAATTCGAATCCAAAGCTCATTTGGGGAGAAAATAGAAAAAACATGGCCAACGGAGACTCCGCGTACGCAACTGCAGAGCGGGTTGGGCCCCAGTGGCCGCTACAATAGTCTGTAGTAGCGTTCAATTGTAGGTCGCCTGCATGAGGATAAAGAAGGATTATACAGAATTAGCATATATCATATAAGACAATTCTGTAGCTGACAGACTTACCGCAATGTTCTTCATCGTAGATTGTCCATCCCGATTCGGCGATATCGCGCAGTTCATCGTCCGTCATGTCCAGTTTGTAGTCAACAGCATCAGCGTCATCCATGTCAACGGCATCTACGTCTTCCACACCTTCGCCAGCGTCATGTCGAGTTTCATTGTCTGCCATAACATCTTCGTCGTCTGCGTCCGAATCAGAGTCACTGGTGTCTGACATGTTCATCATGTTCACGTCGTCCGCATCTGTAGGCCCGAACAACTTCTCAGACCTCATCCCTTCCAGAAACTCATCACTGTCGAATACATCGAACGCCACAGAAGCTGGAGCGGCTTCATGAACATCGCTCTCGCTCTTCGCCTCATCGTCGTGGTTGTTGCGCGCATATTCTGTACCCTCCAGAATAGCAGGGGTCGTTCCAACCTCTTGTTCTGTAGCATCCAGAATAGGAGACGAAACCGACGTACGAGATGTTTCTTCTATCGGGATGGAAGATCTTGGTGTAGACGTAGAGGGAGGGGTCGTTGGAGAATTTCGAGAAGGCGGTTCCATCCCGATAGCAGAGTATGACGCGTTCTTGCCCGTCGGTGGTCGACCCGTGGCTGCTAAACCAGACACAGCGCGTAGCAGACGCCCTATTCGCCTCCCGTAAGCCATCAGCGCCTCCTCCCCTGTCATATAAGGCACCTCGTTAGATTCAAGTCATACCACACCCGGCTGCGTACTCTTACCGACGAAAAAATCCTCTCCCTCCTTCGTTTCATCTAGGCGGCCCTTCATCCCCGGTTTCACTTATCAATGATGGCGGATGAAGCCTGTAGGCTGGCGGGGCTTCCACCCTTCCTTGCAAAGTTATCGCCAAAACTAGTTGAATGTCTTCTCGCCTGTGCCGTTCATCTTTCGCGAATGAACGAAGAAAGCAATGACCCACAAACGCCCAATATAGGCTTATATGGGAATTTCCAAACCTGTAGGGGGGTTATATGTGCCTTTCTATCACCGTGGAAGAATCCCCGGCTATCTACCCCACGCCGATCAACTATGATCATTTCACCCCCCACCTATACAAAAATGTATATGCGAACTTGGAGAGCTGTTGCGAGTGTATCAAACTTTGCTGGATACTAGGTCCTGTTAAAATGCTTATTCTGTAGAATACAGAATACCGGGCTAGGAGGGTTAAGCACATTTATGAGGGTAGTTTTAAGTGAAATACTGAGCTATTCCCATTTCTCGATTTATCGTTCAACGAGCAATTTGCGACATCCTTGGTATGGCTCTAAGGTAAAAAAAAAGTCTGACAGCTTTTTAAACTGCTGCATTGCTTTACTGCGGACAAAAAGCTTAATAATGATAGAATTATCGCTAAATACACGCCCGACCTAAATCCAGGTCATCCGAATACGACCCCAAAAAAGTTAGTTCCGTGATCAGAGTTCCAAGCTACAGGTGGTTTGGGACAAGTGCGATGCTAGTAACAGAATTTAATGGAGTTCGTACGCAATAAAACGTGCGGCAGTACTCCGGTCTGCACATGGATAGGTTGATTGGATTCAATAACAATTAGTGTAAAATGCATGATAATAAAAACATTCTTATCGATGACTGCGGTGCCGTGTGTATGGCACCACGAGTGCGTGGAATTTTATCACAATAAATACTACAATATAAAAATAACATTAAAACTACCGATACTCGATCTGTTACCAGTACCATCCCTATCAAAAATATTATCAGTTTTCGGGAAGAATTCTGTTTCGCGAAGAGGTCAGAAAAAAAAACAGAATTGAGGTCTTTAGCAAAACCGAAAAATTAATCATTACGGTTTGGCCACATGGTCCATCCCTCGACTCACATAAGGTTTCGAT